CTCTCAAATAAAAGTCATTTACACTAGGCAAGGCTGGAGTGAACTTACAGAGCAATGGAAATGAGGAAGGAATTTACAGAGCTGAGGACAGAGACCACAGGGTAGAGTGGGGGGAGATCTCAAGGAGAACCATGGAGGGGCAAATGATGTGTCTAATGGGTGGCCTTTGAAAGGGTACCCTGGAAAATTTCACACAACCTGAAATTTTCAGAAGTCATTGGGCTCTGAAGGAAGGTAGACTTTCCTAATTCTAAGAACCATCTCAAAGAGGTTAAATGCTTTCCCTTGTCTGAGACAGCTCTGAGCCAAGAGGATGAAAAGCCAACCAAAGGGAGGGAGGACGGTGTGGGGGGCCGGGGGGGAGTTGTTCTTCTCAGCAGCACTGCTGAGTGTACCCACCTGGTGCAAATGCTGGTGGGCCGTGGAGCCCAGGAGGGCCGCTCCCTGGAGAGGGCTTCAAGTGGCTGAACTGAGGGGGGTCTTGTCCAGGAGGGGTCTGCCTGGCTGATAATGCACGTGAAACTAACATGAGCTACCTCTGGAAAGTGACAGAGAAGAAGCCTAGAGATGGGGGGGCGGGGAGGGAAGGGGCCTGTTGGGGGGGGGAAGTCCTGAGAGAAGAGATTGGCTGTCTGTCTGGTAGTGTGCTGGGACCCTCTTGCCTGGAGCTTTCTGCTGCAGCCCTCCCTCCCCTGTGTTCCCAGTGGGCTCTCACTTCTCTCTCTTTTTGCATGTTGACCATTTATTGGCTAAGTCACCCAAGCACTAATCCCTGAGAACCTAAGGCACGTCTGGCCCTATGCTAGGGATACTGATAGTGCTGACCTCATGGAGTCAGCTCGGTTAGGGAAAGAAGTGACCACAATACATTGCTTAGTATACCATAGAGCTTAGGAGAGACTTGGAGCCAGATGTGGCTTGAGTCTGGATTCTGCCACTTACTAACAGGGCTGGGGCAGGAGAAGGAAGATGCTGGCATGTAATTTGATCTTTCTGAGCTTCAGTTTCCTCATCTGGAAAATGGTCATAGCAGTACTCCTTTTTTAACCCTCCCTTTTCAGTTAAGGGTTTGTAGGGTATTAGCTGTGAAGCACTTAAGATTAGTGCTTAGGACATGGTAAACACTAAGACATGAGTGGCTCTTTAACACGAAGACAGGACTGTTGACAAGGATGCCTCTTTGGATGGAAACGGGGCTTGAGACAAGAGCTGAGGCCTTGAGCACAGGAGGCCTGGATTTAATTTAAACTCTGCCACCGGCAAGCTGAATCAGTTTGGGCTGGTCATTTTCCCCTCTCCATCTCTCTTCTATCTGTAAAACAACAGCAGCAGCCATCCCCTCCCCCCATCACTGACACCATCGCTGTCATTACCACCATGCCAAATGATCCGGGAAGTGAAGTCGCTGGGCCCTGCGTTGAGAGGCCCGAAATGTTTGGGGGCCTGGGGGTGAGGCACATGACCTGTGCTCTCTTCTGTTCCAACAGTGATCCTGTGTGGTTTATCAGGAAGGAGGACCGCATGCACAAGCCTGGATTTAAGGAGGAATCTCTGAGACGAGACTGGAAGCCAAGTTGCTGGGAAGCCAGGGAACTGAGTAAACACTTGTATAAAATCTGACTTCACTGTTTCCACAAACCTAACCAAAGTGCTGGGGAACTTGTCAACTCACATTTCATTACAGGGCTGGTTGTTGGTGTAGGGCATGTTGATTTAAGCCGCTTTCATTAAATCCTGTTTTGGTGCCAAGCAGCCAGACACTCATCTCAGGGAATTGACAGTCCTCCTTCCTAGGACGCAGCGGGGAGCGGGGACCCGTCTCTGCCAATCCAAGAGCCCACAATCAACACTGATGGAGCAAGGATCATTTACGCTGTGTTTGCTGGCCTGCAGCCCCTGACGGGAGGTCTGGGCAGTATCTGTGCCAGCCCTGCCATGCCAGGAAGCAAGAAGCATAAATAACGTGATTAGAGCCATTGCTTGTCCGGGGCGTGAGTTGTGCCAGACACTTTGAGCACCATTTTGCCTATATTTTCTCACCTAATCCTCATAATGATTCCATAAGGTAATTTTCCCTAAGCGGAACCTAGGAGTTGGAGAGGTTAAGCCACTTGCCAAAGCCATTGGACCTGTAGGGAGCAAGTGTCCCCCCTCAAAAGCCCAATGTCTGCTCCACTGCCCTGTAGCCAATTCCAAGGCATAAAGACAGCCTCTTGGCTCTTGTGGATCCACCAAAGGAGGCATGTCTGGCTTAGCTTCACTGCAAAAACTCAATAGTTTTTAAACAGCTTCCACTCAGCGAAAATGCCCTTGGCAGGGGGTGGGAGAAAGACATGAAGTGGTTAAGCTATGACAGGCACTGTTCTATATGCATACAGAATGATAGGACGTAATGAGCACACTACCCACCGAGGTAGGTACTATGATCACCTCCCTTTTCAGGTGAGGAAACTGAAGTCCAGAAAAGTGAAGTTTCTTGCCAAGGTCAGCATGTGACAGAGCTAGGACTGAAGCCAAGCAGGCAAAGTCTACACAGCAGGGAATTAAGAGAGGGACTTTCTTTCATTCTCTTTCAAATGGGCTTCCAGAGTGGAAGAGACAGCAGAGGAGAAACAGTGGCCTGTCCAGGCAGCAGACAGAGCCGGGTGTAGGCAGATTCCCCCATCACCAGCAGGCCTCACTTAAAGCACTGCAACCCCCAGCCGCTCTCAAGGGGGAAACCCCATCCCTGCCCTGGCCCACAGGTGCAGCTATGCAGGGTGTGTATGTGTGTGTGTGACATCTTTGTATGCTACAAGGCACTCAAGAAACACAGACTGTTACTACTGTGGCCAACGGAGACGGTAACTTTGAAGCTATCTTTTAAACTCCTGGCCTTGTGGCAATCATGATGCCATTTTAGTCAGTTACAGGCTAGAGAGTGAAAAACTGTAATCTGATTTCTGAAAGGGCACATTTCACCTCGCCTCTTAGTATCTTTGTTAATATCCAGTGCTCTCACCAATGGGTGCTCCAGTCTTAATCATAACAACAGTAACACGCATCGAGCCCGCGTCATGGTCAAGTAGCATGATAAACGCTCTTTTGTCTTACTTAAATAACTCTCACAGTAACTCCAGAAAGTAAGTACTGCCATTATCTTCATTTTACAGCTTCAAAAAGTGATGCAACTTGCCCCAAATTATAATAAGCAAGTAGCAGGGCTCAGGGCTCTTGACTCACCGCGTGGATCTTTGCCTCCGTACATGAGGCCTTCCACATACATGTTTCATACCAGTCACAGGGAGTGGCGTGCCCAGGCCTGGGGCAGGTGAGATCTCACAATTCTCCTCAAAGTCCTTTCTGATGGTTCTGTCGTCTCCTTTTACAGGGCCAACTGGAGAATACTTAGTAATCTCACCCAAAGTTATCCCTGCCTCCTCAGAGGCTGTGGAGCTTCATCAGGGATTAACAGAGCAAGACGCAGTTATACACCTCTCATAAATTAGCTTTGCAGCCACATAATGAACAATGCAAGGCAGCCTAGCTTTAAGAGGCCCATTTATTATACCGCTATAAACAGAGCTATATAAAAAGAATTATTCCTGAGACCCTGCACATCTGTGCTCACAATCATGTCTTTACATGAGCTTTGCAAACAAGGATAAAAGTCCAATTTAGACTGCGTACTGAACATCAATTCTCTATTCAACAGGGAAAGGTAATTCCAAGTATTCTAAAGGCATGAATACTGCTTGAATCTCATTTTGCCAAAGGTCCCAACCATCTTTCCTGATCACACCCAGAACTGTTAACGTACCACATAATGAGATAATCTGAGCTTCGCTTTGTTTAAATAATGTGGAGTGGTGAGCAAAATGATTAGAGAAAAAAATATATATATAGTTGAAGATGCTATCACTTTTTAGCTGTCTGTGCCAGGGCAGGATTAAAGTTTCTCCTGAGCCTTAGCTGGGTTGACTTACCTTAATTTGTTTGCCTGTTGCCTCCCCTCCCTGCTCCCAGGATGCAAGCTCTGTAGGGAGGGACTTCCTGTCTCTTTGTCCCCTTCATTGGAAGAGCGCCTACTATGCCACAGGTACTCAATAAGGATTTGCTGACTAACGGATCATGTAAGTTGGCTAAAGAGAGGAAGAGAACCTTTCTCAAAGGGTTTTTGTGTGTATTAAATGAAATATTAGCGGTGAACATACCTACTGTGCTGGGTTGTCACTTATGTTCCAACTTAATCCTCACTTTGAGAGGGACCATAAATCACAAACCGTTTACAAAAAGAAAGGTGCCAACCTAAGTATAAACCCCGAGGCGAACCAAACACAACAGTTAAGAACAACTTCAATCCTGTGTTCCTTCATTCATTCATCACCGTTTATGGTGCTGCTGCTGTGAGTCAGGCCCATGCTGAGTCCTGGAGCTGCAGAGACGGGTAAGACATTAGCCACCCTCATAGAGCTTACTGTCTAGCAGAGCTTTTGGCCAGAAAGCCAGGTAGGGGCCAGATCTCAGAGAACCTTGAACTGAGACTTCATTCTGAGGAACGGGTGAGATGGGAGGGTTAGATAGCTGCGGCCTGCACCCTGCAAGGCCTCACCCCCACAGAGCTCACCTAGGAACATGTTCCCCATGGCCTGGCCTCCGGTAACAACCATATTAACATGAGAGAAGAGATTTCAGTGAAACACATCTATAATTATAAGTAACACCGTCCAAGGCCACTGTTTTGGATCTGAGGACTGCCACGAAGGAGGGAATGATGTGAAGATGTAAGTTTTAAATCCTCTCTGCACCTAAGAGTACAGGTGTTGTAGGCCAGAGTTCAAGGAAAGAAGAAAAGCATTCATGGGGAATGCACTGCTGTGTGCTGAGCATGGGGGACAGGTCCCTGATGAGGGCCGAATGGCTAACATGTTACAGTGGAAACGCCCTCCCCCACCCATGCACGTCCCTCCCCCCCTTCCCTCCCAGCTCCCTCCATCCATCCTGCCTCTCCCCACATTTACCGATAGAACAGTCATGTCCAGTCCAGCTTGGGTCACAGCTGCAAAGCCCAGTGTCTGGGAGGAAGGTTCCATGGCCTGAACATTGGTCTAAGCATGTGGCCCTGGGGGTCTCGCAGTTGGTGCCTCCCCATCCCACGGAGCAGTGGCACTCGCCTCTCACACAGACACCGCGGCCAGAACATGTGGGGTCCATGCAGTCCACTGTGCCATGGAAGAAGGAGAACATGGGTGAGCACCTGATCAGCAAAGGTTGAGTCATCTTTAAGCAAACTACTGAATTTGGTAGAAGAGGGCGTTACACATTCTGGCAGAAGGACACAGAGGACCCTTGGTAAGATGAAGAGCAGTATTTCAGTAAGGGCAGGCCTGGGTTCCCAACTCCACCCAGCGATGGTTTACCTCCCTAAGTCTCAGTTCCCCTGCCCATAAAGTATGGCTACAAATTCCTCCCTCTTGGTTGTGGTATGGACAGAGTAAGAAATCTATCCCCGTTTGTTTCCTTTTGCTGTTGTGATTCCCAATTCAGTCTTCTTCCATAAATCATTCCCAAGGCCAACGTCATCAAGAGTTTTCCCATGCTTTCTTCTAGGATTTTTATCATTTCATGTCTTAGATTTAAATGTTGTATTCATCTTGAGTCAAGTTTTGTAAGGATACAGCAATTAAAGCAAATAGACAACCTTCAGAATGGGAAAACATATTTCCATGTCGCAAATCTGACAAAACCTTGATAACTAGAATCTACAGAGAACTCAAATTACTCAATAAAAATAGCAAACAAACCCATCTGTCATTCAGCAAGAGACATCATAGAACAGTGGTTCTCAACCTTCCTAATGCAGTAGCCCCCTTTTTTTTTTTTAAATTGAAAGGTAACTATGTACATTAATGCACTTCTAGGGTACAGTGTGGGGTTTTCACACACAATCTGAAACACTTCCATCAAACTGGTTAACATAACCTTCATGTCATTTTCTTAGTTAATTGCTACAGCCCTTTAATATGGTTCCTGTGGGTCACAATCCACAGGTTGAGAACCGCTATCATTGAACCTTCTCTGAAGAAGACAGATGAATGGCTAACAAACATATAAAAAAATACACATCGTCCCCAACCATCAGGGAATACAAATCAAAACCACCGGGAGATATCATCTAACCCCAGTGAGAATAGCCCCCATCACAAAGTCCCAAAGCTGCAGGTGCTGGCATGGATGTGGAAAGAAGGGAACACTTTTACAGTATTGGTGGGACTGCAAACTAATACAGCCTCTTTGGTAAAAAGTATGGAGAATCCTCAAAGAACTCAAAATAGACCTTCCATTGGATCCCATAATCCCACTACTAGGCATGTACCCAGAAGAAAAAAAAATCAATTTATCACAAGGACATTTGCACTAGATTATTTATTGCAGCTCAATATACAATTGCCAATATGCGGAAACAACCCATCAATCCATGAATGGATTAATAAGCTGTGGTATGTGTACCATGGAATACTATTCAGCCATAAAAAGATGGAGACTTTACATCTTTTACATTAACCTGGATGGAATTGAAACCCATTCTTCTTAGTAAAGTATCACAAGAATGGAAAAGCAAGTGTACAATGTACTCCATACTAATATGAAGCCGGTGGATGATCTAGTATGTGCCCACACAAGAGAAAAACTCAATTTGATTCAAGTTGGAGGGGAGGGAGGAGGGAGGGCATTGGTGTGCTGCCACTGAATGAGCACAATGTAAGGGTGTACAGCACACCTCCTGGGCACAGGACACAACTGTAACAGGGACCTTACCTAAGAAATGCAAACATTGGAACCCAATCGTTTGTACTCTTATATTAATCTAAAATTAAAATAAAAAAGGAAATGTATCCCAAGCACCAGTGCCTACTGTAATAGAGGACAAGACTTTGTTTTGTCCACTTATGTTGTGTCTACCTCCTAAAAGAATGCCCGGCATACTGCAGGTGCTGAGTCAATCTTTAGAGAACGACATTTATTATCAATTCCTAACGCAGGTTTATTTTACGTGAGCTTGAGACTGAAATAAAGCAATTCCCTAACTTAAGTGAGAATTTATTTTGCAATTAGACTCCATTAGATTTCATCATCTTCCTTCAATTCTTGTGATTGATATGAACTTCCAAACTTCACTTTCCTGAGGGCAAACATTTCAATGACTATTCAAAATTACAAGCGCTGACTCTGCACTGAGGTTGTTGTGGGTAAGCCGTGCAGCTGTGGCTCACAGCCACACAGATCCCGCAGGGCTCCTAGGACCCAAGGTCAAAGTGATCTCCAGAGACCAGCCCAGAAAGAACGTATGGAGAACAGCATTGTGGGTTACCTGCTCTGTGCTGGCCCCGTACTAAGTGCTTTACGTACACTGTCAGATCCAGTTTTCTTAATCACCCACTGAGGTGCAGATGAGGAAACAGGTTCAGAGAAACTGAATAAGTTATACCAGATTATGCAGCTGAACACTGCCAAAGAGGAATTGTTTTTCTCAATTATTTTTGTGGTAAAATATACACAAAATTTACCACCTTAACCATTATTAAATGTGCACTTCAGATTTATTAAGGATACTGATATTGTTGTGCAACCATCACCTCTGTTCATCTCTAGAACTCTTTTTACCTTGCAGAACTGAAACTCTGTGCCCATTAAACAATTCTGTATTTCTCTTTCCCTCTAGCCCCCTGGCAAACGCCGTTCTGCTTTCTGTCTCTAGGAATTTGGCTACTCTGGGCACCTCACAAGTGCAATCATACAGTATTCATTTTTTTGCAATGCCTCATTTCACTTAGCATAATATCCTCAATATACCCCTGCAAGGGGCATATTTTTCCTTAAAGGAGCATGTGCCAGAATTTCCTTCCTTATAGGGCTGAATAATATTCCATTGTATATATACCGCATTTTGTTTCTCCATTCATCCTCTGATGGACACTTGTGTTGCCCTCACTTTGGGGCTATTGTGAATAATGCTGCTATGAACACGGGTGTGCAACTATCTCTTCAAGACATTACTTTCAAATAATTTGAGGAGATGACCAGAAACAGAATTGCTGGATCATATGGAAATTCCATTTTTATTTTTTTGAGGAACTGCCATACAATTTTCCATAACTCTACAATTTTATATTCCCGCCGGCAGTGAACAAGGGTTCCAGTTATTCCACATCAGAGAGGAATGTGAAGACAGGTCAATCTGATTCTAAGCCAATGACATTGCTAGTCACAGCTGATTTTCTCAAACCAAAGCTTTAATTATGGGGCTACACAAAATTAACAGACACCTACCTACCTCTAAGTGTCCTGAAAGCACTGCATAGACACATGAAATTTCCTAGGTGTAGAATATAAATGTCTTAACACAATAACTAAGAAAATGCCGTGAAGGCTATGCTAACCAGTTTGATGAATGCATTTCAAATTATATATAAAACCAGCACATTGTACCCCATTGCATTAATGTACACGGCTATGATTTAATAAAAAAAAAAAAAGTAGGAGAGTATTGAGAATTAACTTAAGTAACTCCAATTCATATGGTAAATGTAAAAGGCAGCAGAGAGAAAACAAAATTGGCAAAGAAGGTGGGTCCGTGTCCTCTACAAAAAGCTAAAAAGTTATTAGGTCTGTTGTTCTCTTCAGGGAGGTAGAGATTCTATCCATTTTGTGATTACAAGGGGACAGTGGTGTACTGGTGGGGCCCCAAAACGTAGCTGTTGGAGAAGGAGTATTGTAACACTGCAAGGCTTATGTTCTTCCTTAGAGGAGCTTGTGGGGAAGGCCTGTGCTGCAGAGGAAAGAACGTAGCATCTGGCCTCTGAGAACCTAGGTTCAAGGGTCAGGGGACACAATGTACTGGTTCTATGACCATGGTCAAATTACATATGTGCTCTGAGCTTGCCATCTATAAAGCAGAAATGGCAAAAACACCTACCTCTTAGGTTGCTATGAGACCAAATGACACTGAGGACTTGGTGAATTATTGCAAAGAAGATTTTTTCCCATCATATCAGGACATTCAATAGCATGGGTTAGGCAAACTGGCCGCAGCTCATTTATAAATCTGACATCTTTTAAATTTATTTATTAATTATATTTTATAAACCATTTTATTTGACTTTTACATACAAGAAAGGGAAACCCAGTCCTAGTGTAAAAGAGTCATAGATGCAAAGTGTAGACTACAAGTGGTAACATTTTAGGAACACTTATTTTGAGAACCAGCTTATTAAGAAAACTCTTTCACTATTTAGATTTTTAAAGGAGTTCAACTTGACCTAAATGGCAAGTAAAAAGATCAGGGGGCGAAGTGACCATTTGCTAAGAATGTAGTAGTAATTACAGTATCAGCAATCATTTAGTCCCTCTTTCATATACAAGACCTCACTTAATCTTAACAAGTAAATATAAGGTAGCTACTATTATTATCCTCATTTTATAGATAAGGAAACTAAAGCACAGACAGGCTAAACAACTTGCCCAAGATCACACAGCAGCTGAGTAAAGGAATTTAAATTTGAATTATTTTTACTTGGTTTAGGCTTTTTGCTATTTCCTCTTGAATCTTACTGGTTCAAAAATACATGTAAGCATATATACTTACATCAACGCATAAAGTGGTTTAAAAATAGAAACTGTAACAAAATAAGAAAAGAAACGGGGCAATGTGGAAAACCAATAAAGCCAAATGAAGGGAAAGAATCTCTTCTTCTGAAGTCTCTGGACACCGTTTAAAAATAGTTAGAGCATGACCTATTAGAGTTTCTGGCAATTAAAAATAATAAAAATAATAATAGTGATAAATTCTCATGACCTGCCTCAGATCTTAGAACCTCAGAAGGCTTTTCCTGGCCCATTAAGCTACTATGATAATTCCCTACATGTAGAGAGCTTTCAAATTGGACAGGAAATAACTCAGTAATTCCTGTCCCAAGGCCTATAAAACTATTTCCTGTTCTGTGAGTACCTGGACACCAGTTTTGGGTTGAAGCTGTCTCTGACAATCCCAGGGCACCCTTGAGGTTGAACTTATAAATCTCTACCATTAGTGAGCAGGTCGAGGGGGTGCCAAGTTCAGCAAGAGGCCTTTGGCATCACAGTCCTGTTTTTCCTGAGATGTAACGAGTCTAATAGGGACCTGGGAACCAGCAAGGTGAATCACATGCTCTCAGCAGATGATGGAGGCAGAGAACAAAAATCAGAAGGACCCACTGGGAGGCTACCTCCAGGCAATTAATCTTTGCTTCTGAAGGTCGTTGGGGCAAAGTGAGTTATAGCAGGAGGGAAGTTTTTGTTTTTTGTTGAGACGGAGTCTCAGTCTGTCACCCTGGATAAAGTGCTGTGGTGTCATCATAGCTCACAGCAACCTCAAACTCTTGGGCTTAGCCCAACATCCTCGTGCCTAAGCTTGCCAAGTAGCTGGGACTACAGGTACCCACCATGACACCTGGTTAGTTTTTTTCCATCTTTAGTGCAGTCAGGGCCTGGCTGTTGCTCAGGCTGGTCTCAAACCCCATGAGCTCAGGCAATCCACCTGCCTCATCTTCCCAGAGTGCTAGGATTATAGGTGTGAGCCACTGCACTTGGCCAGCAGGGAAGTTTTAAAGATGACTGTGTCACGGGAGAGAGGGCAGCTCCAGGGATCCTCAGCTGAACTGGCTGAGGGGTCTGCAGGGAGGATATTGTCCCTGCACTCTGCTGATCCTAAACCTAGGGCCGCTGTCTGTGCCACAGTGATGCTTTGTTGACTCTGGATCTGCCCTCCCTTGCGGGGGCCTCTGGAGTGGCTGTCCCCCAAGGCTTGGATTAAAGTTGTCTTGTTTCTATCCCTCTGGGACAGCTTCCCCAGGGATCTGTGAGTAACCTGGGAAAAGCTGGCTGGCCTGGGTGGAGGAGCGCTGTGCAGAAAGGGTCAGGCAGACTGGCCGGACTGCGCTGTGGAATCAGCCTAACTTAGTTTCTTCCTAGAAGACCTGCCAAACAGTTACATTTTCCCTTTGCAGAGCTTGCCATTCAAGCCAAAATTTCTGGCAGAAGCACAGCCCATTAATAAAGCGATAAGGCCTGCACAACCAGGCTGCAAACACAGCCCTTTCCCCACAACGGTCCATGCTTCAGTGACTGCACAAGCTATTAGACACTCTTCAGTTCCAAAAACACAGGGTCTCACTTTCACTGCAAATCACCTAGGTTCGTTCTTTTCTGCTCCTCCCTCAACTCCCTTCACGAGTTCTACTGGCTCTGTTCAAGTTTTAAAAAATATGGGGTAATAAACTTCAGAAGAAGGAAGGGAGGGAAAAAAGTAAGCTTGTTAGCTGATGTTTTATAAACACAGTGAAACCCGTTAGCACAGAGCTGAGGGAGAAACCCCACTTTACACACAAGGACCAGGCAATGACACTTCACCAGAGGAACAGAAATAATAAAAGGAATCAGGACCAGATGGCCCTCCTCAGAAAAGAAAGCAGGAGTAAAAACAGTTCTTTTCAGATAGATGGTATAAATCAAACTTATAAACACTTTTTTTTTTATCTCTTTGTAAGTGACCCTCAGCTCTGGGGCCCCATCCAGTGGGGCCTCATGTGAAGAGGGGCGGCTCCCCCTCCCTAGCCCACACAACACTACTGGGGTTGCGGGGACAGCCAGTTTCAAGGGGAATCTCCTCTTTGTTCCTCTCACAGTCTCAGTGACTAGTCTCAAGTGAAGAGTGAAAAGGGAAAGGAGATGAAGGTTGCTGCTCCCTGGATAAAAGTGGTATGCTCCTTTGCTCCAGGGACTGGCCAGCCTGCGTCAGGCAGCCTAGTGTCCCCAGCAAAGTTAACAGGCCTGAATCAGGACTCCAGCCACACTTGGGGTTTACAGTCTGTCGGAGAGAGGCGAGGTTTTTCTGACAGCAATCCCTTCTTGTTTCCTACTCTTTGAAAACAGGCCTGTTAACACTCTCTGTTTTTAGGGAAAGTGATGCTTTGAGGGGGGCTCTCTGTTAAATGCCAAATGGGTTCAGAAGACCAGCTCTCCCTGGAGTCTCTGCCATCCACTAGGGAAGGTGCCAGGGTGCTAGGGAGTGGCGGATAGGAGGAAAGGACAAGCACGCAGTGTCATCCATCAGTTTCAAATGGCGAAGTCCATTCATTTCAAAAGACCTGGGATGAAGTGAGCGGGTGAAACAGGAAATGTGCTTCAATTGTCCCCAGAATAATAGTAATAATATAAGAGCTCGCATTTATGGAGTGTTTACTATGTATCAGGCACTGAGCTAAGTGCTTTACATGGGTCATTTAATTCAAGCCTCACAAAGGCCCTCTGAGGAAGGTATTCCCATTTTATAGACCAGGGAACTGAGGCCAGCCAGTGGCAGGGCCAGGACCCTGCTCTGTGTCTGATTCCAGAGTGTGCGCTTGTAAAAGCTACTCCATGTTGCTTCTGCGTGAGGCTCTTGCTTCCAGCAAGAAATTCTGTGCCGTCAGGAAGAAAGAGCACTGGATGTGAAGTAAGGAGGGAGACCTAGGCTGAATCTCAGCCCCGTCACTGGTCAGATCTATGACCACGGCATGACACTGCCCTTCCCTGGGCCTCAGTTTCCTCACTTGCAAAATTGAAATGTCCATTTATCGCACCTGTTTAGATTTTGTAGGAAAGAACTAATGCTGCCAGAAATGAGGTCACTTTCTGGCCTCAATCTGCACAGCCACATGCTTACTTTATGAAGAAGCAAGACATATTCTGGGCATAGAAGAGCCACACGCAGAAACACACAGAGACGCACAATGGAAGGAAGGTGAAGTTTGGAGGTCTCTGACAGGATGAGACTTCAGAAATGGAGATTTAAAAGGAACAGACAAGTTAGAGGACAGTGGAAAGAACTTGGGCTATCAAGCCAGAAAAACTAGGCTCAAACCCAGCTCTGCCATCTCCTAGCTGTGTGACCTTGGGCAAGGCATTCGACTCAGTTTCCCCACCTGTAAAGTGGAGATGATTACTCCTCCCTAATGGGGTCTGAATTTAAATAATAGGAGGCTTCTAACACAAGGCTCAATAAATGGCAGTTCTCGTCCCCTCTGCTACCAGGACCCTGATGAGTCTGTCCTTTTCATTTAAATTAAATACTGTTGCTGTCCTGGCTTGGAAAGTAGAGGCTTCCTCTGCTCCCTGGATGCCCCCTTGACACCATGTGCTGGCCTCTGTCTCAGAGGAGGCTGCCAGCCGCAGGTCTTACCTTCCTCGCAGCTCTCGCCCTTGTAGCCGGGGTTGCAGATGCAGGTGCCCATGATGCAGGTGCCGTGGTTGCTGCAGGCCACGTCGATGCACTGGTTGGTAGGCACATCACACTCGGTGCCCTTCCAGCCGCTGTGACACAGGCACCTGCCCTTCATGTACTGGCCATTCCCGCTACAGAGCACAGGGCAGGAGGCTGGGGAGACAGCACCAGAAGGCTGGTGTGACACCATGCCCACGATACCCCACCCGCCTCTGTCTCTTTCTGCCCTGGGCCTGATTGGCTTGACCAATAAGCCATAAACACATGGGTCCATCTGTCTGCTTCTCTTGCTTGATTTTGTTCTAGTATTTATTTATATATTTATTTGAGACAGAGTCTCAAGCTGTCACCCTGGGTGGAGTACAGTGGAGCCATAGCCCACAGCAACCTGCAGTTCTTGGGGTCAAGCGATCCTCTTGCCTCAGTATTTTTTTTTTCTATTTTTAGTAGAGACAGGGTCTCACTTATGCTTAGGCTGGTCTTGAACTCGTGAGCTCAAGCTATCCACCTGCCTCGGCCTCCCAGAGTGCTAGGATTCCAGGTGTGAGCCACCATGCCTGGCCTTGTTCCAGTTTAAACACACCTGGAATTGTAGGTGCAGGTGTGCAGGGCAGGGTCTGGCAGAGCTGCTGCTCACTTTCCCCATTTCTGTCACACCGCTGATGGGATGCTGTGCTGCCAGGAACCTTAGGCAGGAAGCCACAGTCTGTTCCCTGGTGTCACTGGAAAAGACAGAGGCTGGCCCTCCTCCTGCCTGCCCCAAATGATGCCTCCAGCGCTCTCCTAATAGCACTCCACTTTCACTTCCCCACACCTCTGCAGCACCACTCACTGTCCTCTTTAACCAGTCAATCTCAGCTGTCCTTGTCTTCAGGCCTCCACTCCAGCCCCGGACAGCACTGCCCCCCTAAGGGAAGAGCTGAGCCCAACTTGGCTCTGTTAAGTATTATCTTTTCATTCTGTCTCTTAGCGTAAAGGGCTCTGTGATCATCTCCACGAAGGACACGATATAAAAATAAATTATATTGCATTGTGCTGTAAGTACTTCCCAGCTTCCTAAGGCTGTTTTATACATGACTCTTAACTTTAAGTGCATATGGGATGAGACAGTTAATTCTTGTTAGAAGGAATGACTCATCTCCTCTCTCTGCTCCACCTTCCCTTGGCCCCCACCTGGCTTTTTTCCTATTTAAAACACTCGGCAGTAATCACTGTGCTTCTGTGGGGCTACCTGCTTTGCTGCCTCAAACTGAATCTATCTCCTGATAGGAAGGACAAGCAGAATGTTTGGAGCAGAATCAGGGCAGAGTATCTGCAGGGCCTTTCTGCTTCCACTCAAGCACCACTTCGGAAGCCTCAGAATTCAGGTCCAAGGTCACCTCGTGTAGCAAGCCTTTCCCAATCTCCATGTATTCTATGCTAAGACGGCCCCTCCCTTCTGCTCTGACCAATGCTCCCCACTTTTAGGTTACAGTTTGTTCTCCTTATAGCACCTTGCTATAGTTGTTTCTGTATTTATTGCTCCCTGAGACTGGATTAAAAGCCCACAGGATCGGAGCGCTCAGGTCTTAGCACAGGACTGAGCCTTATGTGGGCATGAAGTGAATGACTGGTGAGTGAAAGAAAAGATGAAAAAACAAAAGGGGCCATTATAGTTTCCCAAGGGAGTGACAAACTCTCCAGCCTACATATCTCCCTGTTAATTATTCCAGGACAGGAATGAAGGCTGACAGCCCAGGGCAGACTGTGAGCAGCTTTTCAAACCATCTCCATGGTGGTTATCATTAGCCCTGGATGTCCCAAACATTGGGCAGCGGTGGGGGCCTGTGTGGGGAAGAGCAGCCCAGCCTGTGACCTGCTGGGTGGTCCCAGCCAAAATCCTGCCTGCATGGTTAGGAGCAGCTCCTTGGCCTCCTATCTACAGGCCAGAGGGAACTCATACTTGGGTGAAGATAAGAGTCAAAGATGCTCAGCCAGGGCTGATCATTCCTCTAAGGGGAAACTGAGTTTTTATTTTTTTATTTTTATTTATTTATTTATTTTTTTGAGACAGAGCCTCAAGCTATCCCCCTGGGTAGAGTGCCATGGCATCATGCTCACAGCAACCTCCAACTCCTGGCCTCAAGTGAGTCCTGCCTCAGCCTCCCAAGTAGCTGGGACCACAGGTGCCCGCCACAACGCCTGGCCATTTTTTGGTTGCAGCCATCATTGTTGTTTGGCGGGCCCGGGCTGGGGATTTGATCCTGCCACCTTAGGTGTATGTGGCTGGTGCCTTAGCCGCTTGAGCCACAGGCGCCGAGCCGGAAACTGAGTTTTTAAAAGGACCCTGCTGCCACTCTGCCTACCCAGCAATGGGCACTAAATTCACTGTGGCTGCCCCTGTAAAAACCCTCCCTTCCTGACCGCCTAGGTCACCTGCATGTGGGTAACAGTGGTTCACAAGGGCACACCTGCCTGCACACCACCCTAAAGAATGGCCCTTGGGAGCCTTTCTTGGGGCTTCAGGAGGTGGCCTGGAGTTTTGCAGTTGCTCTTGAGCTTCTTGAGGGACCTGGGGAGAAAAATTCCAGAACCCTCGTGTGGATTTCTTACCTCTGCCACAGTCGGGGCCCAGGAAACCCAGGAAGCAGTGGCAGGTCCCAGAGATGCAGTCACCGTTGCCATAGCAGTTGCTAGGGCAGTTATCCACCGATTCTAGGAGGAGAAAAGAGACAGGGAGTTGAAAATAGAAATTTCTTCACCCAAACAGAGAGCCTGTGAATCAAGCCTTAGGTTAACCAAGGCCCACATATTTGAGCTACTCTGGCCCAGTCACTGGAAAGAATCAACAGAGTTAAAATTCTATGGACGTTAGGTGAGGTGTTCTGGAAAATGCTTTTAACAAATTTTTATAAATCAAATTTGTATCTACAAAGGCATGAACAATTCTTCAGTTAAGAACAATGAGAGAAAACCATTTAACCTGTTCATAGTAGTTACCTGTGGATGGTAGGTTACTGAGTGACCTTTCTTGTAGTCTCCTTTATACTTTTCTGTTATTTTAAGTTTTTCTTATAGTTGGTGATATTCCACTAAATTGTTTTTTCATAAAGTTACTGGGACTTTGCAAATCTGTCTTTTTCCTCCTCTGGTTTTTCATGTAACTGTCCAGGTCCCCCCATCCCTTGTGGGGATTAATTACTACAGCAGCCTGACCGCTGGCCTCCCAGCCTTCCCTCTTCCTCCCCAGCCTCATGTAGTCACTACCCAGTAGCCTGAGCCATCTCTTGGAAACCAATCTGATCTCGTCACTTTCCTGTTTAAAACCCTTCCAAAGTTCCCATTTGCTGGGATGAAAAAATCCCAGCTCTTTCCAAAGGCACAGAAGTTATCTTTCCTGTTCCCTCGGCCCTGTCTGTATCCCCTGAGTCTGCTCTCATGCCTTCCTTTTGAAGGGCTGTGACTTTTCCTAATCCTCTTAATACCTTTAATATATACACTGTGTGACACTGGCCAGGAAACACAGAAACAATTTCAGAAAGTTTTTAATCAAAAATTAGATAATATTTTGTTGCTCCAGTTAATAAACCCACTATAAAATGTAACTTCATTTGGAATAGTCCATTTCTCAGTGATGCTGGATGTGGAATAAGGCAAAGAAGTATATCCTGAAGAGGCAGCAGGGAAAAATGAAGTGACCTGCTGAAGGCCACGGGTGCTAAGTTATGGAGGCAGATTGGAACCTAGGCCTTGGGACCCCCGCCTGCTCCTTTTTCATGATACTGTGCTATCTGGGCCTTGAAGGAGTATGTCTTACAGCAGAAGCCAGGGAAATGAACAACACAGATCTGTGGGCCCCACGGGTCGTGTCCCCACTGAGACACAGAGTGCCTGGTCTGGTTTGTAATACAACTAACTGCATCTCTCCTGCAGGCTTGAGCCACAGCAGGGGCCTTGAACATGCCCAGGCACTGATAAAAGTGTTTAGGTTGCTGCCCAAAACACTGAAAGAAACTAGCCCCAGCCCGGAGCCAAATTCCTTAAGCCTTCATACAAACTCGACGCTGGGTGCTGGGCGCCCCTTACTGCAGACACACCTAGATATGTCCTTTTCTCCCGCTCTCTGCCTGATGATTACTGCAGCATGCTGTAAGTTAAGTTCCCCCAATACATGTTTTGGACTGATCGTCTTGGCATTTGGTAGGACTTTCTTTGGAATCCCGCTGACTGCATCCTGCGATGATTTGGAGCACACCCTGGTGGGAATTGCCTGCAACTGTTTGTGGGACAACTCGAGCTGTGGGTTCACTGGATGAAATAGTGGGACACTGGGGCCAATGCCAAAGGCCACTTAGGATCCAGTTACAAGGTAGGGAATTCTGACACTTTCAGAGCCTGCAGCATCAGGAGACATCCAGCCCAATTTTCTCCTTTCAGAAAGAAACTGAGACCTGGAGGAAGGGCAGTGACTTGCTCAAAGTCTCAGAGTGAGTTAGTAGAGTCAGCTGTGGGAGCAGAGGAAAAGGTTAGTTAGGCAGGAAGAGTTAATGATTCAATCTGTTGCCTTAGCGCGCAACTATAAGCCATGAAGCCAAGATCAAGGCCTCTGTTCAATGAAATGTTACCATGTAAGACACGAGCCTTGCCTGTAAGAAGTGTGCAGCTTGACTGGGAGAATAAGATCATAAGTAAATGGCCACCTGGGCGGCAATGCAGGGCACAGAAAAAGCTCTGACTAGAGGTAAGAAAGAAGCTTGGCTTGGGGGGGTTCCATTCTTTTAGCAGGCTCTGTGACCTAAAGGAACTTTCTTTCCCTCTCTGGGCCTCACTTTCCTGATAGGTAAAATGAAGAGGAATCACACAGATGATTCCCTGAGGGCGCTTCCTGTTCTAAAATTCCATGAGTCTATAATTAATCAAGAAATCAACTCAGTGAAAAGGCATCCAGACACGGGCATGGAGACTTAATAATGCAGCAAGGTACTTAAGGGCACTACGATGGCAGGGGAACAGGAGTAAAATCAGCAGAGAGATGCTTATCAGGAGAGAAGGGCTTGAGGAAGGGTTTGGTGATGCACGGGTGGCGGAGGTGGCATTTATAGCGTGATGCACTTCCAAGAAAGATGTTTCCCCAACGTCTTCCAGTATCAACTTGGGAACTATTTTAAATGCTCAGAGAAATTGTCCAAATGTGTGGTTCCTTTTGTGAGTAGGAAATGTCATTTGCTTGATGTTGTCTCTGCTGATACAAGCAGTGTTTTACACTAACACTAGTCCAATATGTGTTCTTATTTCAGGGCAAAGTGGTCTGGGTCCCAGGCGAGCAAGGATTACAGGCCAGGGCCCCGAGCCTATCAGCTGTCCATGGACTTGGCCTGGAGAAGTCTATGTTCCTAAGGCCTTTACGTCAGTAGTGGCTTCCAAAACACTGTTCTCATGTTTATGAAGAATCATTCAGGAAGTTTCATTTTAAGTATTCTTTTTTAAAAATAAGAATTTTGAGTAAAGTTTAAGGCAAGATAATTTTTCCTTTAAGCTCCTGAGTAACTGTACAATTAGAGGGACAGTTTCACCTACAGTGTTGCAAAGGAGCACAGGCCAGAAGGGTGGGCTGCCCTGCTTCCCTATCTTGTTCTGCTCTTGGGGGGATCCTTGGCCTTGTCACTATCTTTCTGTGTCTGTTTCCTCACCATTGCATTTGCTCAACCCACACGTGCCTGCTTGGTAACTCCTACTTCTTCTTCCAAATCCAGTTCAAATGCCACCTCTGCAGAAAAGCCTTCTGGCCATCTTAAACAGGCTAAGTTACTCCCAGGACACGTTTCCCCGCAGCCCTATTAAAGTATCATATAGTCTGCTTCGCTATGAACTCTTGAGGCAGAGGCTGAGTTCATTCAATTATGTATTTGCCCTGGTATTCAATCCAGAGAGTGATCACAGTAAATATTTGTTGCTATCACTCAAAGAATTCAACTAGATGATCTCAGAGATCCTTCCCAGATCTCAAATTCTATGATTCAGTCCTTCTTAAACCCAATGGTATAAAATATGTCTCGTAATAAAATCACCATGATTACCAGTTGCATTTTTAACAGGAAAAAGTACAGGTAAGTGTTATTTATTTTTTAGATACTGATGGATGAAATCTGTAGGATACAAACATGTTTATCACGTGCCAAAAAGCCTTCAAAATGAGAAAGTGAGGAAAGCATATTTTTTTTGGTGACTAAGTACAGTGTGGGTTGCTAAACCTGACATAATAGAAGCCTGATGGCAACAAAACTTGCCCCAGGCTGCTGGTGTCAGAGAATGCAGAAGTTTTAGGAGACATAAAATAATTTTAAGACAGCAACAAGGTAATGGAAAGGAGACATATGGAGAATATTTTCTTTTGATAAGATGTTTATGTATATAGTTTTTTCTTTCACTCATAGGGGTTTCAACAATTTGGGTTCCGTGTGACATCTCATAGATAATGAGTCTCCACTCACCAGCTATCTCTGTGCTAAACTCCAGGGTAGAAGTGACATTCATTGGCTTGGAAAAAGTGTGAACTCTACTGCATAAATATGTGCATGTCCCAATTAGTGCTTGGTGAATTTTTCTCCCCATAGTCTCTCCTGCTTTGCTTATGTTCACGCTGCAGCTGCCTTCATTTAGCAGGAGTACCTTTAGATCTGCTTGGATTCAAATGAAAAATTTGGCTGCCTCTGAATAACTGATTTTCAGAATTGGGTGTGTGTTGTGTTGGAAAAGAGGGGCCTTCCCCCCCCAGTTTTTGTTTTGCTTTCTCAGCAGTGGGCCCTCGTAGGAAATTTGATTTTCAGGAACTTGGTTTTCCTTCCATCCGTGTTGGAATACAGAGTTTAAATGTTTCCTTAGCTCATTCTCTGGACATGTGTTGTGAGTGGGCGTGTTCTCTGGATGTTGAACAGAATATTGCTCAGAATACAAAAGGGCAACTGCAGAAGGAAGAGAAGAAAACCCTTCCTCCCAGAGGAGACGGGGGAGTCAGGAAACCTCAGAGGCCTCAGGGAACCCCATGTAATGCCCATTTTCCTGCTTAATACTTTTTTCAGAAACAAGTCTTTAGCATCCGTGAAAGAAGATCACACCTGATAAACAAGTCCTTCTGAGTCTAGGGTTGATGTCTGGGAAAGCCTGCCCTCGTTTGCCACCTCTAGTTTTCTTTTTTGAAATCTCAAAGTGTCGTTTGGTAGGAAACAAGGAGAGATCACAGAGTAAAATCCTGTCTGGAGGAGGACTACAAGGGAAGTCCAATTGCCTACTAGACTCCTGTTTCACAGAGGCAATGATCTTGGAAGAGAAAAGGCAGCTTCTCTTCTATCCACTCACCATGGCATGGGCACATCTGCCTCTTGCCCGGGCCTGAGCTGGCAAACCCCTCTGCTCTTAGGAGCTTGATGTTGGACCCCAGCTGCAAAGATGGAGTGACCCAGCTTAGTGAGTGAGGTCAGGCCCACTTGCCATGCTCAGTCTCTCCTCTGTGTTCATCTTGCACCCATCCCCTCCTTCAGAACTTCCTCTATGCCTTATTCCCCTGTGAGGTGCCTAAGCTAACAGGAGCTCGCATTTCCTTCTGACATCTCCTTCCTCTATTTCTGTTGTCTCTCCAAAATTGTAAAAGTGGATGTCAAGAACTATTGGGAGCGCTGAGTTGGAGTACCACAATCTACCTATTGTCCAGCCTTCTG